GAGCCAGAGACTCCCCTGTCCCTCCAGATGGCTCCTGCCCATGCAGAGCCAGGTCCTGACCCAGGTGGGCCAGGGGTCCCTCGCCCCAGCCACTTGGCCACCACCTCTGTCACCCCACATGGCTCGGGCCACCCCTGGGGCCCAGTCCCACCAGAGCTTGGAGCACGTGGGGATGGCAGGAACGTGCTCCAGGCCCTGTGACTCTCCCTGCTAACAAAAGGAGCAAACTCGGAGGGGCTGAGCCAGCTGGAGGAATATGGCAGTTGACTTGCCACTTTGTCAGGCATTGGTCCAAACTAATTTCCCTGGCAGAGAGCCCGTGATGACTAGATTGATAAATCTGAAGAGGGAAAGCAAATTAACGCTGGAACAAAAGGGGAACCAGGGAAGGGTGAAAATACTCCTCTGGCTTCAGGGAAGGAAAAGGGGATTAAAAAAAAAAAGAAAAAGAAAGACAATCCATTTGCCTCTGGGCTCCAGCTCCTGCGTCTGGACCCCAGGGAACTGCTGTGGGGAGGTGCGTGTGCAGGGCTCCTGGCCAGGCTCTGAGCAGTGCTCTGGGACGGCGGGGAGGAGGCCCTGTCCCAAGGCACCTACCAGGCACGTCCTGAGAAGTGACAAATCCCTGTGCAGGCCATCCCCTTGCACAGAGCTGTGCTACGTCTCTGTGCCAATACAGCTACACAGGGACCAGGGAGATCATCTTCCAACAAAGTCGCCATCCTCAGCCTCCTCCCCACCATCCCCTGTTGCTGGTCCAGACCCCACCTCACTTACCTGCTTGTGCATTTCAATGTTCAGTCCGTAGGACATCTCATAGTACTGAGAGCAAAATCACAACACAGCCCAGTTAGGAGCTGCCCAGAGCAACTGGCCCATCACCAGCCAGGGGCTTGGCACCCACCCTGCCCCTGCTCCCCAAAGCCCAACCCTGCTGCTGCTGAGTGTCCCTGCTTCCCCCAGCCCATGAGAAACAGTTGTCCAGCCAAGACACCTGCCACCAGCCTGGGACAAGGTAGGGAGCAGCCACAGTGTGGACTGTTTAACACCTGTGATGATTACACTGCAGGTTCTGCATTAGCTTAAGCCAGTGTAAGCCAGTCCCGCTGCCCCCCACGTCCCCTCCTGGCCTGGTCTGGCCCTTCCCACTCCCAACCCAGACCTACTCCCCGATGCAGCTGCCCATCTAGTCACACAGGTGGCCATGCCTGAGCAAAAGCAAAGATTAGGTGACATTGGGTCACACCTTTCACCAGTCACTAGTGACTTGGGCAGTGGTGACAGCAGCAGACCCTGCCCCCACACCCCTGAGGACAAGGAGAAAGGGGGGGACCAGAGGACCTGCCTTCTTCCAGTAAAACCCATTTCAGAGGTGGCCACCCACCTCTGGGAATCCCTGAGCCTCTGGGATGTGGGAAGGGATCCCAGCTGGTGGGTGACAGGAACATGCCCTACAATGCTGATAAAGTCTAACACACCCCTGGCCTCACGGACAGGACTGTCATCACCCAGGGGATGGGGGCTTGGCCCAAGGTTAGGTCTGTGTGACTTTTAGATGGCGTAATTTGGGTTCCCCCTTTCCCTAGCGGGGCCAGCAATGCCAGATGCGGAAGGAGAAGGAAAGCTGCTCCAGCTTTGC